CCCATGCTGGACTCGGGTGAGTTACTCATACTTGGACTACTCCAAGTGACTCACCTTGGACAAGGTCCCGGTCCCAAGTACCTTGGCTAAGTCGATTTTTGGTACATTGGTTACAACAAGCAATACACATTGCAAAGAGATTTGGTACGTGAACAAAACAAATAAAAAAAAGGACCAAAAACAGAAAATTTCTTGCTTTTGAATTGTAACATATTTATTGAATTGACATTAGTTCTCCTGATTCAAATGTCGAGTAACTTTGTATGAATAACAGTTTGGTCTCCTGATTCAAACTCTTGTATATAGACCTGCATCACGAGTTTGTATTATTGTATAATATACAATATGAGGCATCAGATGTTTGTTTACCCTGGTTTTGAGGTCCATTCCCCTCAATCCTATCAGATGCACATGTTATAAATAAAGTGCCTTTTGAACATTCACTTAGTGCATTAAACTTGGGAATACCAGACTTATGCAATTGACTCAAAAAAATGTCAAATGGCATTCTATCAACTACATAAACATCTAGACATTATGTGGCCACATGACTTTGAAATTCAGACTCACCAATCTAAGACTTGACATAGAAAAATATCATTAGTACCTTTAATGTGTATGCATTATAATGCATCTAGAAAATCAAACTACACCTCGACATCATTTCCTTCACCATAACATAAACCACATTCTTGCAAGCAAATCAATGAAAGAAAGCAATATCCCATGCATCTCAAAAGCAATTGTGCTAATACAAGTTCCCTCTATGTGGTTTGATTTACTGATCAATTAGCAACCCTTGTCAACACAAGGGAAAAGACATTTATACTTCTTCAAACTACTGCCAGAACAATAATAAGTAAACAAATTGAATAAAGGTATTTTTTTACTTACTTTTACAAGTGGTCGTGAAGGCAAGTTTGCCAAGACTCCCATTCTTTATTGATAAATTGAGACCCCTTGAGCGCTCAGAGGAGGCTGCAATACCCAAAAAAAAAAAAAACAGAAGTCTCATGAATAAGACCCCATGTAAGAAAGCCTCATTAAAGAGATGAAATGGGCACCAAAATCATCACTATCATTTCTTTATTACTTAAAAATGGGGAGACAGCGGAAAGGTTTTTAGGAAATACGCAATGGTTTACAAAACTAAAATAATGATCATGTCCATCGCAACAATAACTGGAATTGTAACAAAGAGTATATTTATCTTTTGTACATGAGGTCATAATCATTATTGTTTCTTAAATTTCAATGTGAGTGGATGTAAGAATTTCATTGAATAAACCTACAGTTCCAAAAACAAAAAAGTCTTGAAACTCACCCCAAGCAATCAAATTTGCTTGTGATTTATGAGCAAAAGATGAAGGGTTCTAATAAACCTTTTTTTTTTTTTTTGGAAAAATTACAAATTATTTCCAACCAAACTATTTTTGCCTTTTTACCCCAAAATATACTTTCTTCGCATAGACCCAAAATAAAAAAGAGAAATAATCCTATGGGATCCTTCTCCATTTCTTCATCTATGTGTGTAGGACCCCAAAGGATTACCATTAAATTTGATACAGATCTATAGAAAAGTCAAGTGTCACCATTAAATTTGATACAGATTTATAGAAAATTCAAGTCCCATACCCATGTGATAACTTTTAAACTTTAATTGTGATCCTTTAGAGTCCTACACACATAAGTAGGAGATGATCCTATAGGATCATTACTCAATAAAAAATAAATAAATTGCCGTCTCTTATTTCGAAAAAGCAGAGCATCCCACGTGAATGTGGGGCCAAAATTAAATTTTTATGGAGAAAAACGGTATTTTTGTAAAAAAAAAAAAAAATCCCTTTATTTTTTTACTTGGTGCGGATTTGCTATATATATATATATATATATATTTGAGAAAAAAAAAGAGAAAAACAAGGTTGATTAGGGCTAACTTGTAATTTTACCTTTTCTTTTTTGGTTGGTGAAATGTGGAATTCGAACTCCCGACGTTGGTTACAATAAAAGTTGCGAACTTTGGATAAGAGAGAGAATAACGTATATCATCTTTTTCGTGGCTTCTACCCGGTGCATATGGCGTTTAAGTATAAGAATATGTTTCACATAATCTCAATATCCAACATGACGGATGGTTGTGATCCTTTTTTGTAGCTTTCGTATTCTCTGCCATGTAAACGAGGCCGATAGTAGTATAATGCTCCTAAAGTGCTAAAGCGACGGTGGAGATTAACTGTGGCTCCAAAATGACGCCCAGTATATATCGTACACACTTTCCCAAGTTTTTATCACTGTAGGTCTGTCAATGACATTAGTGCCCTTGGGAGATTGCTACAGTTATGCCTTCCAAAGAAGGGTATAATCGTCATTTAAAAAGAAAAAAGAAAAAAGTCGGTAACCTGTCTGTTGGGAAAAGTTTATTTAAGGTACACCCTTAAAACGTAGAATCGCATATGCACCGAAAAAATCTATCTGAAATGTTATGAAATGTTATTTTAATGTTGAAACAAGATTCTAATCCATCAACATCGAGATATATGAATCTTAAAAAAAAAAAAAAATTTTGAGTTCTGAAAATAATACATCTTGCAACACATTATTTAGTCTGTCTATTTTTAAGATTTTCATATATTTATAGATCTACTTAATTTTAACTATTTAAAAGATTTAAAATTTTTTAATTACGTACTAAAATAGATTTCAAGATAATAGAAAATCTTTTTATAACGAAATTGCATAAAATTTGAAGGTGCGCCTTAATTGGATTGTTTAATGTTGCAAAGAAACCGCACCTTAGTCCGTTTCAAAGGATTAATCCAAGAAACAAAAATCGAAACAAAAACAACGAAACAAAAACAGAGACAAGGGAAAATAACAATGAAAAAGAGCCAACTTTGCAAACGAAACATAGTAGCAAGCAACTCTCTGGAAAAAGAGAGTTAGAGAGAGAAAGAGAATTAAACCGCATGCCATTGTAGAGAGAAAGAGGGAGAGAGAGAGCATAAACATTCAATCTGAGGTAAAAAACAGAGAGAGAGAGAGAGCATACCTCTAGTCCTCGTCCCATAATCTGGAGCATAACAAGGAGACAGAGAACCTGGCCTGGAGATCACCATCAAAGAAACATAGGGAAGGGTTGAGAGAGAAGAGAGAGCGAGAGGATGAATAGTAAGATCGTTGAGAAGATGGGTTTTTAAGGAGAGGATTAAGAATAAGATTGTTGAGAAGATGGGTTTTTAAGGAGAGAGAGAAGAGAGAGAATAAGAATGAAGAAGAACATGAGTTATGTGGCAATACAACGAATGCGAGAGAACCAAAACAGGAAGTGCGCCGCATTTTTATACAGAGAAGGAAAGTGTGAGAAATATGGCTTCGCACTTTAGGGTTTTGTTTAATTAATAGTAGGAAATAACAAAACATAGAAAACAGTTATGGGCAAGTAATATAACTCTTGGTTTGAGGTTATTTATGGATTACCAAACCTTATATAAGCAAGAAACAGTTTAAGAAACTAAAGGGCCAATAGAAAGATGGGTCATCATTAAAAAAAAGTTTCCTTTTAATATTAAAAAAAAGGAAAAAAAGTTTCCTTTGTAGTGTTGAAAAAAACAGAAAAATGGAAAGATGGATCAGAGTGGGCGCAATAGCAAAACAAAATGTGTCATTTGCATGCTGACATAACTTTTAGATTCTTTTCAGGGCAGCTGCCACCTCTTATTATTCTTTTGTATATTGACCAAAGTATTCAGAGCTTCTACTGTTATGACCTGACTGTCCTAAACCGCCTTGTTTGACTCCCACTTCAATGTTCAAGAAACATCTCTTTTGGAGCGGTTTGTACACCCTCATTTGTAAGAATAAGGCTCGAATGTTTCGAATTATTTAATTGCGGGTGCGGTTTGTTTAGAGCCGAGGCTTTAAACAATCAAAGTAAAGTGCACATTCAAATAGTATCGAGAAATGTAGTTTCAATACTGAAAATCTTTGTGACAGTCTTAAAATATATAATTTTATTTTAATTATAAAGTTTAAAACTTGAAAATAGTGTAGATTGAGCGGATCTATAAAAATTTGAAAATCTTGAAAATTGACACTCCAAAAATGCGATACAATATGCACTATTTCTAAAACTTGAAATCCATTTTTTTCTCATGCCTATGCATCTTAATATCAAGATGATCAATTTGAGGAAATTTGATTATCAAACCAACCTCTTCTAATGAACTTTTTGAGGTGGGCTAGAATTTGATTGTTTAGAGCATCAGCTCTACATAAATTTTTTTCCCTTTAATTGGATGGTACATATTTTTTAAGATAATATCTAATATTTTTTAAGATAAAGTTAAATCAGTTCTCTCTAAATAAAGTAGATGGTGTGGATTACTACAATTTCATTTTTACGAGCAAGGCTGTAACTTTATATAATTTTTTCCCTTCTCATTCTCCTATATTAAAACAACGTGAAAAGGTTTCTTCTTTTACTATATAAAAAATGGGAAAAAGTACAAAAGAATCCCCAGACTATATTTTCTTTGCAAATTACCTTACTAACGTAACTTTTTCTCACACTTTTTTCCCTAAAACAAACTTTATATGTACATACCTTTCCAAGGGAAAAAGTTCATTTTTTTAAGACAAAAATACCCTTTATGTACACAGTCGCACATTGGACCCAATAGCACATTGCCAAAGTGCACCATCACATTGCCGAAACCCACAGCTGGAGCCCACAAGTGCCGAATTGCCCTAAGACAATTACCGGACCGAAACTGAGCACTGTCGGACCCCATTTACATAGTACCGGAGCTTGGAATCCAATAACATCTACTGCTCGACCGCCCTTTGCAACTGTCGGACCACCCTTTGCAACTGCACTTTACACAATGCCGGAGCCCTACTGCTGGACCACACTTTACACAGTGTCGGAGTCCTACTGCCGGACCACACTTTACACAGTGTTGGAGCCCTACTATCGGACCGCACTTCATAGGATAGAGGAGAGAGATCGAAACTGAGTACTGTCGGACCCCCATTTACATAGTACCGGAGCTTGGAATCCAATAACATCTACTGCTCGACCGCCCTTTGCAACAATCGGACCGCCCTTTACAACTGTCAGACCACCCTTTGCAACTGCTGGACTGCACTTTACACAATGCCGGAGCCCTACTGCTGGACCACACTTTACACTGTGTTGGAGTCCTACTGTCGGACCACACTTTACACAGTGTTGGAGCCCTACTATCGGACCGCCCTTACATAGGATAGAGGAGAGAGAGGCGTGGGTAAGGTATAAGGGAGGATAGTTTAGGTATTTTTTTATTTTTTATTTGGTGAGGGGGTATTTGTGTATTTTGGGAAAAAAAGTGAGAAAAAATTAGGTTGGAGATAAGTTGCATAGAAATATAATCTTGGGGGTGTTTTGTATTTTCCCTTAAAAACGTGCAAACGTATATTAAAATGTGAAAATATTGTTTGCTCTTGTGGGAGCAATAGTGTGTATTTGGTCTCACATGGTAAAACTCATATTAGAAATATTTTTTTGGTTCCCAAAATTTTAGGATTAACATCTAGAACCTACAACCAATTTCAAAAAAGAAACAAAAGAAGGGAATCTATATGCCTCAAAAATAAAATAAAATCAAAGCCCCAATATTTATAAGAAATGTCCAATTTTCAAAGGGCAAGATGTTCAAGTACTTAAAATCGAGTTTTTTTTCTTTTTTTTTTTGTAAATAGCCATCAGATATCTACTTGGATCCCAAAATTTGGGATAAAAAAAAGTCAATCTATTTTGGAAACATTTTGTGGCCCTTTGGGTACGATGAAATTAGGAATTTCGGGGATTTGAAATCCAAAAGAATCTATGAATTTCTAGTATCAAGAACTCTTGTCATGAATTCCTCAAATTCTCTTTTAGTTCATGGATTCCTTATCATCATTTCTAAATCCATTATTTGGTAATGAATCAAATTTTCATGGATTTTCCAAGTTGTACTATTTTTTAAAAGAAGTTGGTGAAAGAAATTTAGCAATTTCATGAAAAATGATTATTAAGTAAGTAGCTATTGTACAATAACTACATTTTCATACTACCACAATCATTTAATAATGCATGACATTTTAAAAAACATGAACATTAATTAAACCAAGTCTATTTAATAAATCATGATTTTTTAAAATATGAATATTTAAAGATGGGATGATTTAATAAAGAAATATTATTTAGTAACAGAACAATTCTTTTACATTACATAATTATTTTATAATGAAGAAATATTGAATAAATTTTTTATTAATAAATAAATAAAATACACTTATTTAACAAACTCATGACTATCGAAAAATAATAAATTTTATTAAAAATAAATATTTAATTAAATATAATTATTAAAAAACAATTGTTCATGCAGGCTGGACCGCATTTCTACAATATGTGGTCAAGAAGTATAAAACATCCATCTTAAAGGTAAATGCAAACGGTGCTAAAAACAATTGTAAATAGTGGTCCAAATGTTTTCTTAATATAATTATTATTTTTATTTTTCAGAATTTATTTATTTATTCATATTCATAAACTCCATGTTAAAAATTATATATTCTCCAAAAATTAAGATAAAAAACAATTGTAAATAGTGGTCCAAATGTTTTCTTAATATAATTATTATTTTTATTTTTCAGAATTTATTTATTTATTCATATTCATAAACTCCATGTTAAAAATTATATATTCTCCAAAAATTAATATCAAATTATATTTAAAAAATATATTTATCCCCTCCATTTCTACAATATAAGGGTTGGCCGCATGCTAACCACGTCCATTGTTTCACAATACAGAATTACTCAATAACATCATATTTATTCCACAATATTCTTGACCACAACCTTCCTACAAACACAACAAGTATTTTATAACATTCATGACCTTCACAATCCCTACTATTCAAACATTCATGACCATTTCATTGCATAGTACTCCATTGCATTTGATAGTATTCATACAATACATAACCGTCACATTCCATAGTATTCACAAAATTCATCGCTTTAACAAGCTTAATAATGAAAAAGAAACTTTTTTGACGTGTATTCTTTAAAAATTTAAAAATAAAAAATATCAAAAAATTATATGTAAAACATAAATTGATTAAAATACTCTTAAATCTTTGTAATGGTGTTTTGGTCAATTTAGTTATTTTTTAATATTTTTATTAGATGTATTTTGATGAGAATAATGAATACCTAAAATTTCATGTGATTTGGATTAACAAAAAAATAAAATTCAAATACGAAATGAAATCGTGATTGTCAGATCAGCCCAGATTCAATTTGGGCCGTTGGGCACATATGTAGCTGTGAAAAACTCTCTCATTGATTATCTCGACATAAAGATGTATGAATATGAAGAAAAAAAATATTTTGAGTCCCAAAAATAATGTATCTTGCTACACAATATCTAGACCGTCCATTTTCAAGATTTCTATATGTTTATAGATGTACTTGATTTTAACCATTTTTGGAGTTTAAAATTTTATAATTAGATATGAAAATTATTTTTTAGATAATCTTAAGAATTTTTCATACCAAAAGTATATGTTATGATAAAATTTGGAGGTGCGCGTTAATGGATTGTTTAAGGTTGCAACCTTATAGAAACCACACCCACTATATATATATATATATATATATATAGTAA